CGTAATTGTGGCCTTTTCAATGCTGCTCAACAATTGCTGCTGCTGCTGTTGCTGCTGCTGTTGCTGCTGCTGTTGCTGCTGCTGTTGCTGCTGTTGCTGCTGCTGTTGCTGCTGTTTCTGCTGCTGCAGCAGCGGGTGTGGCATGTGCACATGATGCGCTGCCAGATGCGTATTGACCACAGATAAAGTGGCCAAATTGTCGCTGGTGCTGTTGTTGTTGCTGTTGCTGCTGCTGCTGGCATTGTTGTTGCTGTTGCTGCTGCTGCTGCTGTTGACGGAGTTGGGCGGCGGCACGGCGCGTGCGTTTATCTTTTGCACAGAGGTGCCATGTGGCAAGCCCGCTGGCGGCGGCGTCTGCTGCTGCTGTTGCAACTGCTGCTGCTGCTGCTGCTGCTGTTGCTGCTGTTGCTGCTGTTGCTGCTGTTGCTTGAGCAGAGCGTTGCCATCCTGTCTATATTCGCGCACTGTGTTCAGCTCCTTGCGCTCCAAGTTGTTGTGTGCCTGTTGCTGCTGCTGCTGCTGTTGCTGCTGTTGGCCGCCTTGCTTGCCCTGATTGTTGCCGGGCAGCTGTGGCCCCTTGGCATGCTGTTTCAGCTGCCGCTCGATAACCGAGTAAACGCAATCTTGCACATTGTTGACCGGCTCGCGGCGCAGGCTCATGGGTCCATTCGGCTGCTGTTGCTGCTGCTGCTGCTGCTGTTGTTGCTGCTGCTGTTGCTGCTGCTGTTGTTGCTGTTGTTGCTGTTGTTGCTGTTGCAACTGTTGCTGCTGCTGTGCGGTCAGTGGCACAGCTCCTGCCGCATGTGGCGGCTGCAGTCCGGCCACATTGTTGCCATGGCCGTGTCCATGACCATGACCATGACCATGACCGTGGGCGTGGCCATGCGCATGTGCGACCGCATTCAAGATCACCTTGGGACTCTGGCGATTAGCCGGCGAGTTTTCGTTCTCCTCGTCCGCTGTCTCTGTGGCCGACGAGTCGTACTCCTCGCTGGTCTTCTGCTTCTTGGGCGCTTGGCAGGCGGGCGGCAGCAGGCGCTCGTTGTCGTGGCCAGCGGCTGCTGCTGCCGCCGCTGCTGCTGCAGCCGCCTGCTTGGCGCTCATGCGAGTGGGCGTGATGGTCAGCGCGGCGCCAGTTGCATCTGCCACGCTGCGCACATTGATCGCTGAGGGCTGTTGATGTTGCAGCTGGTGTTGAGGCTTGTGCGGCACAGGCGGCGGCTGTGGCAGCTGATGATGATGCTGCTGCTGCTGCTGCTGCTGATGATGCTGCTGCTGCAGCTGCTGCTGCAGCTGTTGTTGTTGTTGTTGCTGCAGCTGCTGCTGATGCTGCTGATGGTGATGCTGTTGTTGCTGCAGCTGCAGCTGCTGTTGCTGCTGTTGCTGCAGCTGCTGCTGCTGCAACTGCTGCTGCTGCAACTGCTGCTGCTGCAACTGCTGCTGCTGCAACTGCTGCTGCTGCAACTGCTGCTGCTGCTGCTGCTGCTTGCTCAGCTGAGACTTGTGCCGCTGCAGATACTCGGGACTCTCGACGGAGGCGGTATCAGAGCCGCCCGGTTCGCGCTCATCGCAGGAGGAGGTGCTCACGTCGGTTTCATCGCCGGCGCTGGCATCGCCGCCGCGACGTCGCTCCTCATCGGTGAGATTCAGCTGGGGATCGAGCTTGCGACGAATGCGCATCAGGCAGGCGGAACAGCAGCGCGTCGCATGCATTGGTATTTGAAATTCGGCCATCAATGGATCCCGCACCTCCGGCGACAGCTCGAACAGGCGGGTCGGTATATTGCGCAATCGTTGCGCCCGATCCTTGGGATTGGGGCACGTCGGCAGCGGGCAGTTCGGATAGCGATTGCGCACCGATTTGCACTGGCATGTGTTGCAGACGCGTGCGCCCGCCGGTATCGTTTCGTCTGGTATTGCATATTGCTGGCCACGCCCCTTCTTCAATGGGCGCGTACGCGGACAGGCCTCCGCCTTGCACACGAAACAGTTTGCCAGTTTATCTGCAAAGAGAACGAGAGCGGAGGCTGATGAGTAAAAGTTAAGCAAACACATTTAAAAAAAGCGATTTAATTAAAGCCAACTGAAAATGGGAAAAACTGGGCAAACGGTAAACAATTTGCCGCTAGGCGCAAGACAAGCAAGCCGGGGCAGACCAAGCCAAAAGCTGGGGCAGGGGAAGGGGCAGGGGCAGCTGATGCTCGCGGCTGGACGAAGGCCGCCTTCATTAAGCCACTTAACAAATAATGAGCAGCACGAGCGGGCAGGCTGGCTGGCTGTCAGGCGGGCAGCATCTGCCAATTGAATATTTTAAAATGTGCGCCTTGTTTGCCAGGACAGCACGATAACTGCAGGCGGCGGGTGCAGCAGGGGGTGGGGGGGGGGGGGGGAGGGGGAGTGGACTGCCATGCGGAGGAGCAATAACTGAGGTAACAAGTTCTGAATAAGCCCTGAAATGAGGCAATCCGGCAATTAAGCGATAATGCATTTACAGCTAATTTTAAGTTTCAACGATTGTTATCGAATGTTATCGATAGCTGAAAAGGCAGCTTCGATTGCCTGTAAATGCTTTGAATATGCTTATCGATAAAATCAGTTGCCATCGATTGTTTGTAAATGTTATCGAAGGTCATCGAGCTGTATTATATGTGCTCGATTGCAAAATCAGATGCCATCATTTATTTGCAAATGTTATTAAAAGTTATCGAGCGATATTGTATGTTAGCCATGCGATTGCCAGATAATATCGATTATTTAGTTATCGTTACGTGTTTATTGTCGCTGCTGATGTTGCTCATGAAATGTGAACGTTCATTTTTATAACTGATATCGATTGCTGGCAAATATTTTATTTTTATCGAAAGACCAAACGAATGTTATCGATAATAGTAGCTAACAAATGTGATCGATTGCTCTAGTAGGAGTTGAGTTGTATTTGTATATGCTCAAAACTATATATTGCTATCGATAAATATGTTTAAACTTATATCGATTGTTAACGATTTTGAACGAGCATACCTAAATCGATCGATTATTACGAATGACATCGATATAAATGACAGTTGCGATATAGCGATAACGCTCGATTTGAATAACGATGTTATCGATAAATTGAGGTTAACTTTTTGTCCTTTTGTTACTGTTGCTCTTCTTGTAAAGGGACACCCAGTTAGCCTAAATCTATCGATATCATCGCTACTCTTCATCATCTTCTCCTTCTGCTTTTGCATCTTCCTCTTCAAAGAGCATACCAATTTCCCGCCTCCGAAAATCCGAAATAAAAAAAAAAAAAGAAACGAATCCCTTCCAATGCTGGCCATGTCTGAATTTGTGCTGCATTTGTGTTTGTCTTAGTTTTTTGTTTTGCCATTTAATATTTTTACAATTTTAATGATGTGCAAATAGAGACGATAAAGAGCGGAGGGACACAATAAAACAGAGGCGGGGGGCAGGGGCAGGGGCAGGGGCTGCTGCGAGTGAACGAGCGAGAGAGAGAGAGAGAGAGAGAGAGAGAGAGAGAGAGGGGAGAACAATGTGGCGCGTTTACTCAAAATCAATGTAATTAAAATAAAGGCAAATAAAACATGAAGCGACTGCGATTCCAGCCAAAAGGATGGGGGATAAAATAGGGGAGAAGGGGTTACTCAGTGTGTGTGTGTGTTGGTGTGTGTGTGTGTGTTGGTGAGGGTACTTGAGTAGCCGGCAAGTAAAATCAATCAACGTTTAAATGTCAGAGACAAACGTCAAGGCTCTTGCAAACTGATGACGACGTCGACGTCGACGCCGACGTCGACATTCGCTGACCAAATAGCAGTTGCCATATGCTTATACCTCCCCCCTCCCCCCATTCCTCCAGCATATTGTGCACCCACCACTGCAGTTTGTTGACTCCCCCACAGACGCCCCCGCCCCGCTTCCCTTCCACCACTCTTTTGGCAGGCAATATGCGTTGGGCTCGTCTCTGTGGAATATGGAAATACATCAAAGTAGCCAAAGCCAACAACGGACAGCCTCATTCGCGTCCGCATCTTCTTGCTCTTGCTCTCGCTCTTCGCTCCTTGCTCTTCCTCTTCTGCTCTGCCTCATTTTCATTCCCAATCTCATTCTACATTCGCCGGCTCGTCCTTGCCCCCAGCCCGCTGCATTGTCCTCAATTTTCGTTTCGGACCAAGATATAAAGGCTACAAAAAAAAAAAAAAATAACCAAAATGCTTTTTGCGCGCGCAAAGTGAAGCGTTTAAATTTTAATAAACCACTCATTTTAATTTTGATTGTCACGGGGAGAGCGGACCGGAGCGGTGTTTGAGGGAGAGGGTCGGTCGGTCGGTCGGTCGGTCGGTCGGTCGGGCGGTCGGTCGGTCGGTCGGTCAGTTGGTTGACTGGCCTGTGGGTGGTTTGCTCTGTTTTGCCGTTCAGTTGCCTTTTGCCATTGTCTGCCTTTTATTCATATGAACCTGGCTCGAGCGTCCAAATGAACTGATTGTGCATTACATTGAATGGAACTTATTCCGGAACCAGTTATGCGCAGATTCTTAAATGAATGCATCGAAAATTTCACAACTATTTCACAAATCAAATCAAGTCGTGTTCGTCGTGAAACAGTTTTTCAACTGGTTCAGAAGAACTTCTTTGGAATTCTATTTACAATACCAGAACACCATGCATTTGATTGCAAAGCTGCAGGGGCTTAAAATTGGCGTTGCCAGACAGCTAAACAAATACAACATCTGGCAAATCGTTTATAAACTGATAACAGCCTCATTACGCTTCATTGGATATTCAAACGAGGCAGTAAATGTCTTCAATTCGGTAAACAAACTTAACATCTGGCGTTGCCAGACAGTTCGTAACTTACTCGTCAACACGCAGTTAACGTCCCATAACATAAAAGTCATAAGTGTAACATAACATGCAAGCCAAATCCTAAGCATTTAAGCCCAGTTTATCGGCAAACGTTGCCAGACTGCAAGGTTATGAAACAGCCAGACAGCGTGGCATCGCTGTGGTAGAACAATCGCTTTGCTGGCAACCTTTTGCAATCGCAGATAAGTTCCAGACTGACCCAAATAACGGCAATGCCACATATGCTACATATTAACTGGCAGCGTTGCCAGACTATTTATCGACTCTCTGGCAACGCGATCAATTATAGAGAACTGTGCACATTTCGCGCTGGGCGCAACAAAGTAGGCAATGAAATAAAGTGTTGCCTATTTTTTTGCGCGCGGCATCGAAAAGGCCAATTAAATTGATGGAGGCGCGAGCCGCTCAATCAAAATGTAATTATAAATTGCAAATAAAATAGAATTGCAAAATAAATATTTAATATTAATAACAGCAGAAATACGAAAAAAAAAAAAAAAATAAAACAAACAAATAAAATCAAACAAGGTTGAAGCAAAAAAGAAATTAAATCAATGCAACTGAAATTGCAGCACGCCCAAAAGGGGCGCGCCCACAACAACAACAACAAAAAGAACAGCAACTCAAATATATTAATTAATAAAAGCCAATTGGTCGCCTGCCTGACATTGAGGCGCACGTCAATCTGAGCCTCGTTTCCCTTTTAACTTGGCTTTATGTACGTTTTTTTTTTGTTTTTATTATTTAATTTTCGATTTTAAAAAATTTATGTAAATATTTTATTCAGCTTGGTGGCGCACAGGCAGCCCCTGCGAGCGCCCCGCCCCACCCCTCAGCAACTTCCTTCCGCTGTGGCCCTACCGAGCAAAAATTAAAAAAATGCCCGCGGTAAACAGTTCATGTGGATTTTTCGTTTTTGTATTTGTGTTAAAGTATCAAAAAATTGTGGAAAAAATATATAAAAATAAATAAAACTGATGCGAGAATCAGCGAAATTGTTTTCTTGCTTAATGTGCATTTTGTGCCAACCCGACAAAAAGCACAAAAAACAAATTTTTTTACAACTGATCAACACTGCGACATTTTAATCAATCAATATTAAAAATGAATCATTTTTAATTCAATATACAAAGCAGCAAAACGTTAGCGAATATGACACAAAGCAGAATGCAAAAATATGAAATACTCTCCCGCGGGAGCGTGAACTTGAAAGAGTTCAAGCCTAACCAATTGTGGCAAAAAGGGCATACATATTATTATTTTGATACGCATCACGAATTTGTTAAATTAATTAACATGATTGATTAGCTTTGTAATAAACGAAGTAAAGTGTACAAATGCTCAAGCGATAACAATAATGTTATCGACATTCCTGTCGCCTGGCAACAAAAAAATAACCGTTTTCATGTCAATCACACGACACACACAAACGCACACACACACACACGAACGCACACACGAACGCACACAAACGCATAGAAGTAAACACGCAATGCAATTAGCAAGGCCTTTACCGTTGTTATTGCATCAATTTACCAAAAAATTAAGTCAACTGTAATTAATACATATTAATGGAAATTTGTGTTAATTAAATGCTGCCTCAATCACACACGGACAGACGCACACACACACAGACAAAAACCGAACGCCACCTCCCCACACACACAGACACACACACACACACACACACATATTCAGGAGCTTTGCATGTGTGCGCGTCTGCTCTCAGTTTCTTTTCTTCTAAGCGGACAATAAGAAAATTCGCAGCGGAGACACAAAATGCGCGTACAAACAGAAATGTGGCCGTTGTCCGTCCGTCTGCCTCTTGCCAATAAGCTTTAAAGTACTTAATTCAATCAACATTATTTTTGTTGACCAGCAGCAGCAGCAGCCTCTCTTTGCATTTCGATCAATTTTATTAATAATTCAATCAGTCAAAAATTATTTGAAACGCCCCAAAGGAAAACAAAAAAGTTTTTTTTTTTTTTTTTTTTTTTTTCTTGGCTCGTTTTAGCGGCTGCTGCGCCGACAGCGACGTCAACGGCGGCGCTTATATTGTGTGCTTGTCTTTGCTTTGATTTGGCAGTCGCCATAGAGAGGGAGAGAGTGGGAGAGAGTGAGAGAGCGCGCAATGAAAGAT